CATAAATACCAGATAGCTAATTGCCAAATATCTTCCAAGGTGGACATAAATATACAGTAAATTTCCAATCACTTCAGAGAGCTAAGTGTCAAATAATCAAACAGATTCACATCGCTATTCATTTTGAGATTATTCACATTAGGTCCACGTGGTACAGAGGCAAGGGCTTGCTCCTCAGGAATCCAAGCACTGCGTTACTGCTGATGTTACACGGTCACTGAACACTGGAGAACCCATGCTCAGCCACAATGCATGGGTCTTGTTGTCAGATACGCGAAGCTCGATCATGTCTACAAAACTCCAGAAGTCAGTACAAAGGATAATAGCTTCAGACAGCAATTACTTCTGAAGAAAGCTTACAGCTAGAAAGTCTATCCCACTGCAGGAGAGAGCATGGCTAAAAGGAATAAGGGCAGGACACCTCTGAGCTACTAAGCTGAACTTAAGGAAACTTGGTTCATCCCAGCTTCCCAAAGCACACCCTAAAAGGTCTGCTGCAGAAATACCATGTACTAAGGGCATGTGTGCAAGATGGGGTGATTCCAGGAGCCTCGCTCCCATGGCAAGTTCCAGAACTTCATCTTTTCTAGGGCCCTTACAAGGGACACTGGCTGTAGGACATTAGAAGGTCCTTCTAATGATACCACTATCCAAACCAACTTGTGCAGGGATGTTCTTCTAATCTCTCCTGAGTGTTTGGGTTATTAACTCGCAGATTCATTTTTAATTTTTAAATATTAATATAAGGGATAAGAAAATTGGCATTTGAATCTTTTGTTTAGATAGCATCAATTGGGTTATTTGTTTAGTGATGATAACTATAAAACCAGAAGGCCAAGAATATTATAAATCTTGTTTTAAGTAAGCACAGTTATCAGAACATAAACTTATGTAATGAAAAGAGCAAACATTGCACAATAAGAACACCAGATATTACCCATCCACAAGAAATTATCTTCCCAAATATAGCACGCAGTCATTGGTTCTCCTACAGAATCACAGAATGGCCAGGGTTGGAAGGGACCTCAATGATCATGAATCTCCAACCCCCTGCCACATGCAGGGCCACCAACCTCCTCATTTAATGCTAGACCAGGCTGCCCAGGGCCACATCCAATCTGGCCTTGAATATCTCCAGGGATGGGGCATCCACAGCCTCTTTGGGCAGCTTGTTCCAGCACCTCACCACTCTCATAGTAAAGAAAGATCTTCTAAGGTATTTAGCTGCGAACAGCTGCAGGGAGAGAAGGAGAATCAGAGAATCATAAAGTTTGGAAAAGACCTCTAAGATAAACAAGTCCAACTGCTGACCCATCCCCACCACACCCACTAACCATGTCCCTCAGTATCATTATCTCCACAGTTCCTAAACACCACCAAGGGTGGCGACTCCACCACCTCCCTGAAAAGATACTTCTGAGTTCAACAGCAGCCATTATGGATTTTTCATCTTTTGAGATGCTTCATTTTAGGTCTGCTCTTCACAAATGGGAAGCTGAGAGCCCAGCTCAGGATGATGCCACGTTAGTATCAGTGCACACCTGAACGCACTCTGTTATACCTAACTCTCCTCCTGCCAGGCTCACGTCATGGGGCAACATTCTTCTCTGAAAGAGTGGTGATGCAGTGGCACAGCTGTGCAGGGAGTGGTGCAGCCACCATCCCTGGGGGCATTCAAGAACCATGGAGATGTGGCACTGAGGGATGTGGTCAGTGGGCACGGTGGGCATGGGTGGGTGACCTTAGGGGTCTCTTCCAACCTTAATGAGCCTATGAACTTACTCAGGAATTGAGGCTCGATTAGCTGCTTGGACAACTGTGCTGGTTATATTATCTACACTACAGCAGTACTTCAAGATCCAGTGCTGCCAAAGCTCAACTGCTAGTACTAAAAATCAAAACCTAGGAGCAGTATTACTCTTGTTTTGCTTTGTCACTCTCATGCAGGCTTGAATGGCCCTAAAGGGCCCCAATATGTAATTAACACAGATCAATACAGGTGTGAGGGAAGGAGGGCAGAGGCAAAGCAATGCCCCGCACACCTGGGTCAGCACTTCTGTAGGCTCAAGCCTGGCATTTGTCTGTTTTTCTAGACTGCTTTAGGTCTTGCAGACAAAAGTTGAGTGGTTTTCCAAGCTCATAACGTTGTTCTGGTTTACAATCTCAGTATTAATCAACAAATAAGACAGAAGCTTAACAACACGTTACCACTACCCTAGCCTCAATGTTATTTCCGCGAACCCGAGCACACACTTTCCACGCGCAATGGAAAACCTGCGAGACGAACCACGCACACGAGCCCTCACGCAGCCCCGCTCACCTCCGCGCCGCGCAGCCCGCGCCGGTTGCCGGGCAACGGGTATCCATCCACGCGGGCTGCACCACTTCCGCCCGGCAGAGGGGCGCCCGCCTCCGTGGGGCGCCGCGCTGAGGGGACGGCGGCTGGCGGGGCTGGGCGGGGGGAGGTGTTTCTGCAAAACCCGCCTTTAGCGCCCCAAATGGAACGGCCCGTTGTAGGGCTCAGCCACGTCGGGCTTCCAAGCAAAAGGCCGTGGGAGTATAGCGGGGCAAACAGTGTGCTGACATAGTTCTCTTCCCACGGAAACGCGGTGCGTGTGTGCGTCTGTTTGCATGGTCCTAATGGAGTGTAAACGCGAATCTGCCTCCGTGTCAGAGGGGCTGAGCACAGCACACGGCTGGAAAACGCTCTGCAAGGTTACCGCAGAGGCAGCGCATAAACGCAAAGGGTGGCAGAAAAGAGGCTTGTTGGCCAGCAGAGCTGCGGGCTTCCTTGGGATGGTTGAGATAAATAAAGATTGGGAACTGAGATTTAAACAGGTGATTCTCACCTCAGTTCCATAACTGTGTTATGGATATCAGACGCAAAGGTTTGCACAGGTGATGGTTTCCCAGGTCTTATCTTGCATCCATCTCCTGTCGAGCCCTCAGCCTGCACATAATGCCAGGATCACACAGTGCCAGGTTGTTCATTCACCCACCAGTGTCTAAATCCAACATCAGCTCCCCAAAACCCCCCGGGCAACCACTGCCTGTGTCAGCAAATACCCCTCACCCAGAAGCACTTCCAGAAGCAAAGTTCCCTTGGTGCTACAAACGCACGAGCAGTGGCTTTCAGGACAGGCTGTGACAATGTGAACAGAATAATAAAATACTCTGAGCCAAGGGAAGAGGCAGAATGACTTTGCTCCCACTGAGGTGACGCAGCACTGCCTATGTGGTTTCTGCAGACTGCTGCAACCACATTGCTTGGCTGCCTCTCAGACCCCCTTTTAACAACTTGTTTAACCCTTCGACCAGTTTCAATCAAATTCTGTGAGCAAGCAGAGTTCTTATGCAAAAGTTCCTACAAGTTTTATGCGGATAGAGGGAAGGAATGCAGAAATATTGGCCCTTTGCAAGGGAAATGCTGAGCATGTGGTAACTTTTTGTTGCAATGCCCACTGGGCAGCTGCTGGGCAGGACAGCGATAGCTTGGTGCTTCTTGCCCAGCTCCTAACCTGGGGACACTGAGAGAGATGAGGGTAGTGTGTAGTGTGTAGGAGAACCAGGGAGCATTGCAATTTGGCTGCCTTAGGGAGCACAGATAAGCATGAGCTGAAGTTACTGTGGTCAGAGCAGACATGGGAAGGGCACCATACTCTTTAGGAAACCCTTATTCCTCCATTATGCTGCTTAGGAGATGGATTGCTCAATACAATGACTGAATTTTCAGTGCACAGTAACAAGCAAAGTATGTCATGGTCACAGTCAGTGTCTTGGCAGGTAGATCCAGAGCACCCCCTCCAGTCTGGGAGAACTTCATCACGTTTAACCTGTGCCTAGGTGATGGGAGATGGCAAATCAGAAAAGGTAGCAAAAGTTGTTTTGAGACACTTCACCATAGCTGAGGTCTGCAGCTGTCTGAGAATGGGCACTGCTGCACGGAACAAAGTTTGGCTCTTCTTGAGGCCATGCTCATTACTGTGCTAGAAGGAGACTTGTCAAGCCAAGGTTCAGCTCACAGCCAATGTAAGCAGAATTTTTCAATAGTTTTGCGAAAGGAACAAAACCTGTGAAAATAAAGTGTGGCCGGCTGGCAGGGAAGGGGGCTGCTCAGGTATGCTTATAGGGAGGCTGAAATCTACATCCCACCACAAAGTACCACAAGGATACAGATGCAGTGGCACCTTGCATTCTGTAGCATCAGGACCAAATGCAGACAGACAGGCTGATTCTCTGAATGTTATATAAGAGGGTGGAGTGGAGCATTTAGAGTCCTCTTTGGAAGGTGTGGAAGAACCAGGTCCTCCTGCCCTTTCCCTTATGCCTAACCCCAAGCCCTAGCTCACCTCCAGCCCCTCAGCTCCCCCACAGCAACCTCTGCCACCCCTCAACCCCCACTGCTGAGGGCTGCATGCTCACTGTGGGAGGCATGTGCAGAGCTGCCGGCAGCTGGAGCAGCACAGCCAGCCTGGATTGCATTCCTCAAACCCCGTTTCCCAGCAGGGCACTTATTCCAGGGCTGGGTCCTCCCCTGTCTGCGTTCTACGCTAATGACTATTTCCCCTTAATAAATTACCCTTGCCATTGTGGGGCTGACTTCTTACACTGGAGTCCTGCTTGGTCCCTTATCATGGGAGCGTGAGGAATGATCGTTCCCCACTGACACCCATCAATAGCAGTGAGTAAAAGCCAGGAAGGCAGGCAGAAGATAGCAGGAACATGCCCCACAGAGGTGCTGTTATTCTTGGGACAGGAGGCTACTGCGGAGGAGGAGGAGAGCTTGGAGGGTGGATGGGGGGGTCCTGTCACTGCTGATGCTGGCTGGGGCTCTGCAGCTGAAGAAAAGCATTGGCTCAGGATGGTTAAAGCTGGGAAAGGAAAAAGCGAGGAGGGAAAGGGACAAAGTGAGGGGAGCTGAGAGGCAGGCTGGAGAGCACAGACAGCCACACAGTGACTTCTGGTGCATGAGGGATGCGGGAAGTGGGCTGTGGCTGAACATGTGGACCATCTTGGTGATCATCTTCGGGATTTCAGCTGTTCTGGTAGGTGCTTGGAGCTATTTATTCCTGATTGCATGGAATAGTGTTGAATGAATAAGTGCACCTGTATCCCACAAAGTCGCCGGGTCTTTCCTTTAAAGGTCTGTGTGTAATCTGGGATTTATTTTCTTTTATTCTTGCTTCTGCTACTTCCCACACTAATTGACAGCGTTCAGACAGCCAGATGCTGGCTGCCTCTGTTTCCCCACCTGTATAAAGAGGATAGTGTTACTGCTTTGATAAACTCAGGGAGGAATCTCCTCAGGGGAAATGCCCACCATTGCTAATGCCTCCCTTGTCTGGGGCTGAAGGAATATAAAGTGATATTTGCCTCACACGTGTTGGTTTTTCCTTTTGGCTTTCCCCATTTTCTGGGAATTGATGTGCAGATTGCTGCTGTGCTCCAAGCACCCAGCACCATCAGAAAGACAGCTGAACCTGGAGTGTCATCTCTGAGTGCTGTTCAGGTGCTTTCCAATTCTGAAAAGCACAGAAAATTGAGGCCGAAATCTGTCCAGCCAGGTTGTGAGAATTTAGGAGACAAATCCTCAGTCCGTATGAAGAATCACTGCTGCATTGGCAAAATCACTCTTTGTCCCAGCAGGGGATCTGGCTCGCTCTCTGATAAAACCTGCCTACATGTTTTGATTGCATTGGGAATGCAGACTGCATTGCTTTGATTGTGTTTTGTACTAAAGTATCAACTATGCTGGTTTTCTTGCCATTTCGGTTTCTTATTTTTAGGTACCACCAAAATGTAAATGGATGTCTTTATTCAGGGTGCTGCTGAGAGCACCTCCTTTTGCTTGCTCTCTTTCCAGTCCTTCAGAATACAAATTTTGTTTATGGCATACAGCCTGGCATCCTTTGTTCTCCCTTAAGCCACTTGTGAAGCTTGGACAACTTACTTTCAAATTAAACTGACTGGGAATTCAGTGGCTGCAAATATTCTTTGTATTAAATAGCATTTAGATCCACTCCTTCACAGGTTAAGAAATGCACTTTGGACATCGAGTTAGAACAACTATTTCTGCTTGGAATGGGTTTGATATGATTTGATTTGTTTTGACATGTTGCATTTTCTTTAATGAAATAAGAAGTGTAGCTAACATGATGGCTAACATTTGTTTTACATGTGCTTTACTGCAACGAGCCACCCGCATGCAGACCAAGCCAGTTCTGTTGATCTCTTTAAATGTTCAACACTTCAACAGTATGGTTTTTAACATATTTCCAAGGTAGCTTCTGGGAATAATGCAACAGAAGTCAGTTTTAGGTCTGAACAGTTGCATTTGTTCTTCTGTGTGATGAAAACATTAATTGCTTTACTATTGGTAATCAAATGTTCAGCAACAGAGAGTGGTAAATAATGTTTAAATGATCTGTCAGTGTTTAGAAATGATCGAATTCAGCCTTCAGCCAGCAAAAGAAACAGCTAAATGCAATTACATTTCCTTGGACGTGTTACTCTATTTGGAAGTCTCTCATTTTTTTCCAGGATCAAAGGGATTTAATGCTTTTAAATCCTGGTACTAGAGAACAGTTCATTTAACCTGAATTCTTTGCACAAGCAATTCAAGAAAATTCATTTCACTATGCAAAAAAATGATTTATTTCGGTTTTATTTATTTCATAGCTCACAAGGAGCTATGCAATTTGTCATAATGGGAACCTGGGTGTAGCCAATATTTTCATTGTTTAAAATGATGGAAACAGGCAAAAGTGGTGCACGTAGATTTTCCTGCTCACTGGGAACCAAGCAGGTCTGTTACAAATGGGAGTCAGACTATCATGTTGTTGTGTGGGAGGATTTGTTATCATTAAGCATACTGCAAGGTGAAAAAACTGGGATCTTGTCCTACAAATCACCTTACAATGATTTTCAATACATGCCATTTTAATGATAGATAGCTGTTTTGTATGGTAATTTTGGCCCAGCTGCATGTAACATAAACTGCATATTCAATGACTACATCAGGACTGAGTTAAAACTTATGTTTTAACCCTTCCTTGTGAGAAAGGAGGATGGGGAAGGAGGGCTGTGAAAGAATGAGCTCAGGATGATTTACAATCAGTTTTCTTGCAAGAAATCTCAGTGAGGTGCTGCTGTTGGCTTGGCTCCTACAGCTCCATGATGGGTAGCAGGGGAACAGGCTTGGGTGGGCTGCAGCCAGTGGACATATTTGGGCTGGTTGTGCAAGTGAATGTCACCTAGGAAAATGAACAGCAAAGGTCTGTGGTTTAACACTGCCAGAAGTGGCTGATTAAGTACTCCAGGAGAGTCCAGCAGTGCCCTGAATGTTTCTGCGAATGTCCTTACGAGGAGCATCTTGCTCAGGCACTTTGTTTAGCAAAGTAACAGACTCATTTCTCTCAATAACAATGTCAACAAACGGGAGAAAGCAGGAACTGAGTCTGTACTTGCCTACTGCTATCAGAAAAGAGCAGAACTTAATTAAGAAAATTGACTGTATTTCAAGGAAATACTGCCCACAACCAATTGACTGCATCAGATGGAGAATAGGAGCATAAGGAAGGCAAGTCCTGCTAAGTAAGTTTTAACAGGAAAGTAATTCTGCTTTTCTGTTTTCAGATCAGGGCTGTCCCTCCTGTCTGCGACCTCCTGAGTGTCTTGAAAAAGGAGGAAGAAAACTGTGCTGAGATTTTGTCCCTGGAGGCAAGGAACAGAACGCCTGAAAATGATCTCCTCCTAAGCTCAGGTGAAGGTGGGTGAATGTGCAAGCTAAAAGCTGTTCTCGGGTCAGGTGGGTAGCTCAGTACTCCCATGTTCCTCCAATAGGAGGCACACAAGCAGTTATTTAAACTTGCCTGTGATTGAAGAGTTAGCTCTGGTAGCAGCTGGGTCAGCAGCCCACATAGCACTCAGGATCAGGATGGAGGCAACAGATGCTGTGTCTGATTAGCCATCACCGCTGGGGGTGGGTTTGTGTCATCCATAACATCTTGCAGACTGATCTGATCCTGGATGACTTCTGTAGACCATGAGGTGGCAAGATCCTCATCAGCATGAGAAGTGACGGTGCTCCATGAGACGTGCTCTGCGCAGGGTTTGGAGCAAGACATGAGGCTTTTGCTTAGTTTCAAAGCCTTCCTTTCTAGCTGAGGGTGTTAAGACACATGAGAGTTTCACTGTCGCCTGGCCCACAGGCAGGACTCAAAGGGAAGGTCTATTACATATTTTTTAGCTTGCATTTTTCTGTGTTATCCATCCCTGTGATCCTTGCAGATTGATGGGTGTGACCTCTGCCTTGGGGCATCTTGATAGTGGAGTACTCAGAGCAGTTCAGCAGATATTCCAAAATGCAGATCTGTCTCATTGCATATAAAAGAGACTTAATCTAGTTTTCAGTTGTATCCAAATCTTAAGTATCCGCCTTGGTATTGTAATGGAAACCACTACCCTCTGTGCGCACTCCCTAAATCCACACAGAAAGAAGCTAAATGAACAGGACTGTGTTAAATCTCTGAGAATGCGTTTCCAATTGCCATCAAAATAGCTCTTTAAACTCTGTTGTGCAAAGGGGACAAAACATGGCACAGTGGTGTGAGTTCAGGGCTACCCATGTAGCAGAAAGCATTAAACTGAAAGTGGGCAGAGTGACTCAGCCTGTGTATGTCACCGTAGCTCTGCAAACACACCTCCTGGCAGAGAAACTCCTCCAAAACAAACAAGGACAGGGTGCACAGCTGTCCTCACGTAATGGTTTCTGAAGAGAGAGCACAGGAATTTCCTTCTGCTGGTCTTTATTCAATGAGGGTTTTGTTACCTTGGTGAATTATAAAATAATGGTTTTATTACGGGAAATAATGCTTTTAGTCTGCATATTTCCTCATCCTTTAATTATCTGCATGTCTGAGTTCTGCGTGGAGATAATCCTGCAGGACTTTAGTCTGAAAAAGAAAAACAAAGCTCTGGGGATCCCATGCCTGTCCTCAGTGTACCACGCAGGGAAGGAGAGCAGCTTTTCCCAGTATCATTCTGAAGCTATTTAAACTCTTTGTCACGTTGTGCTTCTTTGTGTTTACACAAGGATTATGCAAAGAAAACATCAGGCTGATTCAAAGTGGAAGCTTTAGAAAAGTTGAAATATGATCTAAATGTTTCACCTCTGCTTTCCTTTATCTTTCCAGCACCATTCAGTAGTTCCCAAACTGGGAGGACTGGGAGCAGAGGAGGGCCTGATGTAAGACTCAGAACAGCCCAGTTTGCTCTGTGTGTGGCTGCCAGAAATCAGAGCTGTCAAGGACCAGAATGGGATGTTGGCATTGGTCTGAAGCCAGCAGGACCTGCTCTGTCCCATCTAGTTCTCAACAGCACCCAGAAGGACTCGCTCTGTCTCACCCAGCAGAGCATCCCTTTAGCCCCTGGGGTGATGCTGCACAGTGCTTCATTGCTGGGAGATGTGGTGTGGTGCTTCATTTTTGGGAGATGCTGCATGGTGTTTCATTGGTGTGAAATATGTGTCTCATTGCTGGGAGAAGTTCCATGGTGTTTTGTTGTTACCCCCAGGCAGATGTGCTGGGATGTGGGATAACATGAGCTGCTGGCCTTCGTCTGCTGTGGGATACACTGTCAGTGCTCACTGCCCCAAATTCTTCCAGATGCTGACTGGGAAACAAGGTAACACTAAAAGTACACTGAGTGTTTTTTGTTCAATGTGGTGTTTAGAGAGATGTCACCCTCAGGTCTGAACTTGAAGGAAATTCTGTCCTTTTAAAGCCGAATGGCCTCTTAGCAGCTCCATTTTCATCACTAAGCTAAAGGTGAGGAAGTAGTAAGATGTTTCAAGAGTTTGTTTTTCTTAGCCAGACAAAGAAAAGTGGAGGAAATAAATGCTGTCATGTAAAGCAGCTTTTTCACTTAATTTCTTAAGGAAAAGGAGCTTTCTTCAGTCAGTCTGTCTTTCCTTTCAAATAACTCTTTGGCTGGTCTCAACCCAGCTTGACAAGAGAGTGAAAATTCACACAGCATTAAGCTCATGCAAGCTTTGGCAGAAACAACCAGCCACGTAGGGGGAAAGGACCTCTTTTGTGCCTTCCTCAAGAGGAACTCTGCTCTGGGGTCCACCCATTAGCTGTGACAGTCTCCATACATAGAAGTGGCAAAAGTGCACAGAACTCAGATTTCATGATCCCCATGGCTCACCAAACTCCTTGCTTAAAAAGAGATGGGCTCAAGCAACTGTTGTCTTTATTTATTTATTTATTTATTTAATGTATTTATCAGTTAGAAATCAAGTGAAATTTATTCTCAGTACAGTACAGTAATCGTGAGCCATTAAGTAGTAGTTTCTACCTGTTTTCTGCTCATTTCTACTTTTGAACAATGTCTGAGAAATGTGCTTCCATTTCTCTCTGTGAGTTAATGATTCGAATCAGGAGAGCTTGGCTTTCTTTAGTTATAGAATGTGAATTAATGAGGTCCAGTGCTTACAAAAAAGCAGGCATTGATTTTGTGGGAGGAGAAACAGAAGACAACATATCAGATTGTCTAATAAGGATTAGATAACTAGGAGGATAAGCATTTAGCACTCTTTAAATAAAATCGGGCACAAACTGTTTGCATCAAAAGAAATACCACGCTGCTTTCTGTATGTACAGACAGCAGCTGCCCACTGAATCCTGTAATCTTGTGTAAGGACAGAGGAAACACGATACAAAGTCACAGATTGCTGAGAAAATCATCTGTCGGGCACGTGCTCACAATTCTTCAGCATAGCAATGCTGAGCTTTAAATGTGTGCAGTGCAATCCATGCTGGTGCAGCCACTAGAGGGATCCGCTCCCTGCCTCTGCCCGAGCAGCTAGCATCAGCTCGGGAGGAAAACAGGAATTTGGACATCCAAAGGTCACAGCTACATGTCAAATGAGCACTGCATTATCTTGGAGACAGATAGGCTAACAGCTTTAAACTTTAGTTGCTCTCCTGACTGAGAAGCTGAGAGCTGAGCCACTTCTGATAAGCACTAATCAAAGTGACAGCGTTCAAAACAGAACTTCTCCCGGCTGAGCAGTCCCAGATTTCTCATATAATAAGTTCTCCTGTCCCTTGATCATCTTTGTGGCCCCACGTTAGACAGAACAGTGAGGAGAGATGTTTGGGAGAGCTCTTTCTCTTCCTTTTGTTATTGCTGTACTGCAGCAGAGTACAGAAAAGCTGTTTGAAAACAATCCTGGCCCTTCCAGTGATGCTAAGCTGGAACAAGATGTTCATAAAAGCATCAGAGTAATAGTGTGGTACTGACACACCCTGAGCTCTTCCCACATGGCGATCTCAGCATGTTTGCAGTGCTTTGCAGTTGAACAGAGGTGGGTGCAAAGCAAGTGAGGGCACGTTCTCAGGTCACTAGGATTAGTTCAGAGGCAGCAGAAGCCCCTGACTGTCCTGACAGCCCCAGCAGGGCTCCAGAAAACGTAAACCACTGTCAGACACCACTGTGTGCATATCTCCCTCTGTTCTCTGAACACTGCAGGGATGTTTTGCAGAAACTGGATGCCTCAGAATTCCCGTGGCTAGTTGTGTACACAAAAGAAGACTTTTAAAGCATCTTCCGTCAAGGTTTCCACTAAGAAAGGCTGCCGATTTCAGGTTTTCATTCCAAACAGCGGTGAAACAGGACACTGTAAAGGGTGTCTCCTTCTGGACAGATGCACGTGATTAGGATAGCAGACAGTGGTGTTATTTCTTTGTGAAAGCTTCTCTTCAGCCGATAGCCTATACCTGCATGGTAGGGCCATTTTCTGCCAGTGAGACTGCAAGATGTTTGCAAGATGTGACTGCCTGCTTCCACAGTTAGTGCAGGACATGAACGTCAGCACATTCAAACCTGTCCTGCTTAACCATGTGCGTCTTGATGGCTCAAGTCTCACTTGACTTGGGGAGTTGGATGCCCAAATAGGTGAGAAAACTGCTCTCTGTAGACATCTGTGTGAAAATGAGATAAATTCTACAAAAGCCTCTTTTTCTCTAGGGACTGGGAAGACACAAAGGACTCAATGAACCTACGCATTTTGCTTTCAGAAGTCTAACTTAACTGAGTTAGCCTAGCCTCTGATTTCCAATAAGTGTAAGACAATGCCTTGACCTGACTGTGGGGACAAGCCTTTTATTTTCCATTTAAAACCTACCAATAAAAGCTGTGCCGGTCTAACATTTTGCATTCTTTTCAGACTGTGACAAAACATGGTACAAACCTGAGTTGGGAACATTTGAGTAATTTGTATGGAGTATGAATCCTTGATTGAACAAGTTGTATGTTTGCTGATCTTGGAACACTGGCCAAGAAACACCAGATGTACTGAACAGTATTATTTATGTTGCAATTAATAAAAACACATCCATCACAGTCATCCCTGAGTTGGCAAGCAATATTATGACCCACACAAACACACTGGGCAAGTATCAACATAATCAGCTCAGCTGCATGTCACCTCCAGCTATGCAGAGCACACTGCCTGAGGAGAGTGTTCCATTGCTCTTGGAGCAACCCTACACATTTGTGACTGACTAACAAAGGTACAATTTAAAATGTTTACACCTGATTTTGCCCTTTTTGTTGTTGTTAACATACAGGTTTTGTCTATCGAAACTGCACCATCGAGGGTTGGTCCGATCCATATCCAAGACCAGATATTGCTTGTGGCTACAATGTCAATGACACAACAAACGAGGCGAGAGTGAGTCTGAGTGCCTGTGATCTAGCACTGCTTCTTTAGAGCCCTGGGGGAGGGATGTGCTCAATCTGATAAATAGAGACTGAATAATGTGATTTACCCCAAGCAGGGTTGTGTATAGGTTTTCTTCAGCACAAATGTTTCTTTAAAGGCTCGCTGAGATTAAAACGCCAGCAGCTGATTTTACAAGAAAATCTACTTGTTAAGAAACAAGGGACAGCCTTCTCTTGCTATGGGCTGATTTCTAACAGATGATCAAAGGTGAAGATGAGAATATCTATTCCCCTGCAGCGTTCCTATTTCATGACCCTGAAGACTATGTACACCATTGGGTACTGCACCTCCCTGGTGACGCTAACAATAGCCTTGGTGGTCCTGGCCTCTTTAAGGTGAGGAGAAGCATCACTGGTTGGGTTTGATCAGGACCTCTGGTCATCTCAGCAAACACAGACACTTCTGCTGTCTTTCTCAGCAAGTTAAACATTGTAAGTATTTCTGAAAAGCTTCACATAAATCAGTGATAGGAATGAGCTGAGTTCTGTTTCCCCAAAAATGTAAGAGATTTTCCTCATATTATGTTCTCCTGTCTTCTCCAAAATGTAGCCAAACATAGTTTGCAGGCTGAGGTTTGCACCCGCTCCATGCTAAGATTTTGACATGATCAGTGTCCCTGGGGCAGGCTCCCTTTCCTCCTGCTGTTCTTCTCCTGACTAGAGACTAAAACTTTGCTCTAAACATCACTGTGTTGACTTCTGGGAAAGCATTGCATGTTTACAGCAGTGACCTGACAGACAGCTTATCTTATTGCATCTTTATAACCTGGAATTTGCACTTTAGTCCTTATTCAGTGACCAATATGCTAGACCAAGCATATTGGCATGAAATCCTAGTTCTTCTGGCAACGTTTGCCTTTTTTTAGTATCTGAGTGGAACAGATGTGACTTCAGCTTTTCAAGGCCTTCTTTATGGTGTCCTTCTTTGGAAATGCACAAATCTTCTTTCCAGAGACAGAAAACCTGTGTTTTAATTTGTCAGCTCAGCATTAAAAAACTGACATGTTTTGTCTAGGAATGTTATTTCATAGGAATGTTACTCCATAAGAGTTCTGTCTTTGTTACAGGAGACTTCGCTGTACGAGGAACTACATCCACATGCATCTCTTCACATCATTCATTTTGCGAGCCTCATCAAATTTCATCAAAGATAATGTTTTGTTTTCCTCTGAAGACACAAACTACTGTGAAGCATACACGGTAACCCTCTGCCTTCCAGCTTGCTCCTTGCTTCAGCTTCCCAGCTGAAGTTATCGTGCAGGGAAGGAAATCTCTGTCCTAGCTTTCTATTTATCATACTGAGGGAGGTATGAGGATGATAAAGGAGCAAGCTGGAGCAAACACACAGAAACTCAGGTGTGCTTTCTCATGACTACAGATACCCATTTGCAGGCATCTACGATCCCACCAAGTGTTGGAGCAGAGGGCATCCACATTGCTCAGAAGTAGGTGTCTGCATCATCTGCTGGCCAGCAGTGACTAGTGTCCACAGAAGGCACCCAGTGTTCAGTACATGGACATAGAGGCACCTAAATGTGACTGCCACAGTCTGTGAACATGCGATAAACCACCAGGGTGAAGATTCTTACATGAATCATAGATCGTGGTAAATGGTGCTCAGAGGGAAAATAGGAGAACGCATTAAATACTGCTGACTTGTACTACAGTTTGAGAGCTGCTAATAAGATGTAAGTTTGCAGCCTCAGGATCTGGAAAAGAACCACATAAATTTGGAAACGTTTTTTTCCTCTTCTTTTAATTGGCAACAAAATATCTTGAAGATATTTGGGATCAGGGCCCTGGAAAACATGTTCAATGCTTTAAACTCTCTTGAAAATAGATACAGATGACAGCAAAAGTTAATTACCCTCTGTTTCCTCAGGCTGGCTGTAAGCTTACCATGGTCTTCTTTCAGTACTGCATCATGTCTAACTACAGCTGGCTCCTCGTAGAGGGACTGTACCTCCACTCTCTCCTGGTCATTTCCTTCTTCTCAGAAAGGAAGTTCCTTTGGTGGTTCATCGCCCTTGGATGGGGTAATGGTTCTCCTTTTAGTAAGAATAATTGACAGTCTGTTGTGCCTTTGGGGTGGATTTGTGGAGCAGTAACTGGGTTTTTCACTTGCAGGTGCCCCAACTGTGTTTGTTGCTGCATGGGCGACTGCAAGACAGCTCAGTGAAAATGTTGGGTAAGCTGCTTGGAAAGGGCCAAGTTGTGCGGATTGCTGTGGGGATTTCCTCCTGCTCATTCCACACCACTGGCAGCCAAGCAAATCAATCGCCACTTAATTGTGGTGCACAACTGGATCCAAGCACAGGGGGAGAGGAAAAGTCCAGCTAAGCAAGCTGAGAGGGAGCTTCAAATTTCATTTGAGCATTTCTAGAGGTGGGAGATGACTTTCAAGTATGAGTTCATCTTGTGAAGTTTGAAACACCTGCACTTGATCAGTGAAGCTTTGTTCTTTTCTCCCTTGCAAAGTTTTGAAAAGTTTTGAAGAGGGAAAAACATCCTGCTTCAGCATAGACTTCTTGTCCAGTGCAGGTGGACAGTTTTCTGCTTTCCTAAAAATGTTGCACCAGATAGGTGGGAACAGGAAATTCATATTGTAGAAGAGGAAGTAGGGACCCACCTGAAGTGCAATACAGACCAAATCTCTTTGAAAACAGACCAGTGTTTTGATAACTGAATGCACCTTCTCTTCTATTTTTGCAGGTGTTGGGACATTAACACAAATGCCAATACCTGGTGGATCATTAGAGGCCCTGTAGTTCTGTCTATTTTTGTAAGTCTTTTCTGGAACAAGCACATTCAAACTGTATTTCCAAATATTGTCAAGTTAGACATTATCTACTCAACATACTTTAGAAGCATGTTAATGAACCAGTCTTAGACATGTGCCTGAACTGGTGTGACACATGAATTACTGCTTAAGCAACTTCTGCACAGCAGGGATTAGTCAGTAACCAATGCCCTGAAGCTAAGTTGCAAGGGAACACTAGAGCGTTCTCCCAAGAAGCAAGAGCCTGAAGATCAGGTTTCCACATCCTGTTGATTTCATATGAACTTGGCTGGCTTGTGGAAGCTTGTTTTGGACTGTTTCAAGGAAGGCTTTGGAGGAGAAACTGAGATGCTATACATTTCAGTACAATAGCCTTTGTGTCTCCTGGTCACTGCCCCTCTTAGCAAAGCCAAAAACAACTTGCCTGACACGACCATTAACTTTTGTTTTCAACCATGAAAGCAGCTCACAGGTTTCACACACTGTAGGTCAGTAGACTGCAATTAAACTGTTAAGGCATTACTCACTGAAACGAGATATAGGCATTGAAAATCAGTGTGAACCTGCTGGGTGAAAGGCAGAGCTGATGTAAAGAACACTTTGGCACAAATAATACTTTACGTCTATGGTGTGAGCAATTGCTTGTGCTCACCTTTGTAGCTTCGGGTACCGAGGACCTGGAACTGCTGCTTGGAGGTAGTTGTTCACCCAAGTGTGGTGCCCTGGGGGTCTGCAACGATTCATCTAAAGCTGCAGTAGAGGAAGGTGAGAGCTGCTAGTGTAGCAGCCTTCTGGCGCTCCAAGCCAGAACCCAGGGGTTTTCTGAGGTTTCCATGTTGCCAGCAGGCTCCATTATGTTTTCAAAACACAAACTGCAACACTTGCACACTCACCCAAACAGAGGTGGTAGGTTTAACCCTGCGCTCATTTACCACTAAGCAGTCCCTTCACCTTCACAAAAGCTGCGAAGCACACAGGGATTCAGGGTCAAAGAAGCGCTGGCATTCACTTTTCCTAATGATTGCAAGGTGAAACCCCAGTCCTCGTTCATCTTTAAGAGTTCACCCCCATCTCCTGGAAGCCCTGATCTGCCTCGGGCGGAGCCGTCTGCATGCTGCTGCCTGCTCACCTAGCAGAGGCTTTTCTCAAGCCCATAAGCCACATAGGCAAACAAACAGCCAGTCCTTGAGAATTCAGATCTAATCTCTTTATTCCTCTCAGCACACGGTCCTTAGCAGTTCAAAGGGCAGAAAATCGACACTGATAAGCTCCTTTGTGCTCCCTGACTAACGTGTGTTGCTGTGCTGCTCACTGGCAATTCCTCCCAGTGGGAATCTTCCCATTCCCAGCGGATTTTCATTAGTAAAAAGCCGATACGGCTGAGATCTGATCTTCTGAGTTAAAAAAAAAAAACAAAAACAAACAAACAAAAAAAAAAACCAAACCAAAAACAAACAAACAAAAAAAAACAAACCAATAACAAACAACACAACAGAATCCTCAGGCCTGAACCCCATTTATTGTAATACCCCCACTATATTACCCTGCCTTTCCTTCGTGGCCACAGCTAGCAAACAGTAGGAAAGCCCCTAGAGACCAGGAAGGCTGGGAGACATGGGACGAGGATGGAGACAGTGACAGCTACTAACCTACATGTCAGCCCCAGCCCCTCATTCTCCCTGCTCAACTACAATACTCCCAGTGGCTCTGCTGAGCCCTGGCAGCTGCACTTGTACTCATGGGACATTCCTGTTGACTTGATTTTTTAATAATATCTTTCATTTTCTTCTTCTGTGTTTTTTTTTTTGTTGTTTTTGTTTTGTTTTTTTTTTTTTTTTTTTCCCTCCAGGTTAATTTCATTCTCTTTGTCGACATCTTAAGGATCTTGATGAGGAAGCTCAGCTCACCTGAAGGACGGAGCAGCGATTTCAACCAGTACAAGTAAGTCCTGCACACTGCAACTTTACACTATGTCAGCCCTCCTTGGCTCCTTCTGCCCCTTTCTACACTAGCTTTCCCCTTTGTTTCTGCTCTCAGGAGACTTGCCAAGTCAACACTTCTCCTCATCCCACTCTTTGGGGTTCACTACATCATCTTTGCTTTCTTCCCCGAAGACGCAAGTAGCGGCACAATGGAAATCCAGCTGTTTTTCGAGTTGGCTCTTGGATCGTTCCAGGTAATGTTTGACATGCTACTCTTTTTAAGGCAATAAGAGGAATAATGCATAGCTCTGCACAGAACAGGGCCCTAGTGGCAATAACAAGCTGCCTGATTTCCTTTCAGATATCTCCTCCAAATTTAAAAGCAGAAACTGCAGTTCTAATTCTGTGACCACAGTTCTTTTTATCTTTCAGGGTTTTGTCGTGGCTGTACTTTATTGTTTTCTTAATGGTGAGGTGAGTTTTGTATAGATAGCATTCTTTTCTGTTGCTCAAGTATATCTCATGAATTAGTAGGATATGATCCTCCATGAGTTACACATTTTATTTGGGGATTTTCTTCCCAGATACTTCACATCACTCCTGAAATGCCTCCCAGACCTGACAAACTTAGATCATCATATACCAGATGCAAACTTCACTGCCCAACTACTGCAGCCCTTTCCTAAATCAGATGGTATTATTACTGTCTGGTAGTGGAGGATGGGAGTACTACCCCATACACTGTCACACTGAAAATCAGAGCCCAATCCTCATGTATGATGTCATCATCTGTCATACCATGTTTTCTCTGCTTGATCCTTGGGGAGGGAATTTAGAAAAAGCTGTATCAGGTCTAGATTTATTAGGACTCTCATAAGGCAAAGCCTTTGGAAGAAGAGAAAAGAAAGCCTTTGTAGTTGCATAATTCCCAGCTCCTGGTGCTGGTAGAGGCAGAGAGAAATGTCATCCATACCTGGGGGATCCTGAGGTTATTGGAGGGGAATTGAAAAAAACCAAACTGTTAGTGCCTAGAAGGTCAGAAGGAAAAGTCTCTTTGAAAGGAATGAGGGCTTTGAAATGCTTTGAATGGTGCTTTAACATGGTTTCAGAAAAAGTGGTTCAGAAAAGAAAATCTGCACTTATTTTTTACCCTTAGTGTCAAAACGTCCTGTTTCATAAATAATACAAGAATCCTTGACAAATCCAAACCAGACATTTAACTAAAGCCAGCTAGTCTGGGTAAACAGCTTCACCAATAATTAAACAGAAAAAAAGGTTGACAGAAAATTGCATAGCTGCAGCAGTGCTATCTCCAGAAGTGACAAGACACAGGCCCTGCCCTCGTCCCTTAAATGGGGCTTAAATAAACAAACCCAGACCTTGGCAAAGGTGACAATCTCTCCCTTTCCTGTTATACTGCTCTCCTCGGTGCAGGGCTCCAAGATAAACCAACCAAATCAAGCATTTTGTGATCTTTCTACCTAGGTTCAGCTGGAAGTTCAGAGAAAATGGAGGCAGTGGCACTTAAGCAAACACCTGCGCCAGCAGCTCAGCACCTCAGCAAGTAATGGAGGAAGCGGTGTAACTCAAGAGATGCAGGTGACCAAAGCGAGTCCACCACAGGACAGGAAGGCAACTTCCCAAAGATCAAGCATGCTTTAATACTGCACTCTTAAGGGACACCTCCATGTTCAGATACATGTGGTTAAACGTCATGGACTGTGCTGGGAGCCTTGTGTATATATCCCAAGCGGGACTTGGCTGTAGACCAGCACTTCTTGAAGCACATCTGTTCGTCTATATCTTGTGTAGCACCAGAGTTATTTTGCAAGGCAAAATGGGCCAAAACATTATTCTCTTCTTTGGGTTTCTGACCATAGTCATTTATGTTTCTGTCCACGCTGATATTTTTAAGTTGCTATTTGTACCTTAAATGTAGCTCCTCATTTTCTGTGTGGCTCCCTTCCAATCCTAGGCCAGGCTGGTGGGTTTCAGATGTTTTGCCTTTCTTCTGCTGTTGAAGCTAGAAGAATATTCAGCTTTGCAAGATGGTAGTTACAAACCATTCTTTGATAAAGCCCATGGGTTTGATATGCAAGCCAATTCATGCTTAGAATTTACCAGGGTTCCAAGTCCTTCAGTTGTGGTGGACAATATCAGACACAGTGAATTCAAACCATGGTCGAGCTTTTGCTTCAGCTGTGACTGCATATGCGTTGCTTGGGTACATTCCAGTGATGGAGTTTTCTTCCTTTTTCTTTTCTAACAATAGAGATCTTTAAAATAACAGTGGTCCAGTTTGTCTGTTTTTTTTATACAGTGGTTTTTTGTTTGTTTGTTTGTTTTTGTTTTTTAAGGTAGAAAAAACTATTTTAGCAAAGTCCAAGAGTGGCCATGAAAATTGCCCTTGTTTGAGTCTCAAAAAGATAAAAGAATTTGGCTAGCAATGCAGTCAGGTCTGCTATTTGTTTCTGTATTTTTACCCCTTTGAGGCAGTCCTTTCCAGGCATTCCTTGGGGGCAACGATGACTGAACGAAATTCTATCTGTCACTTTCTCCCTGCTCCTGGTCACACATAAGACACCGTCAAAACAGACACAGCTCTGCCAAGTGCTGACAAGAGGCATTCCCCAACTGCTCTGCCAAAACAGGTCACCTGCAGCAATGGGAGAGCTGAGCTTCTGAGTCCTCAGAAGCAGAGGGGAAAAAAAAATCAAATATAAAGGGGTGAACTGGTTTCCAGGAATTAATTTTAAGCTTGGAAACAGCAAGGATTTGTGTCAACTTTGTCCTTTAAAATTCAGCCAAAATGAGTGGAAGGAATAGCAGAAATTAGATCAGTCCTGTGAGTGAGAAGTGAGAGCCCATTTAAAGGTAAAAGCTCCTTCTTCTCACTGACTTTCTGAAACCAAGTAAACCCTTCAAGTTTTGAGGCTTTTACTCAGTCCCAGGTCATTTTGTAAGACAGATGTGTCCAAAAAGAGACAACCATTAGCCTTGTTTTCTCACTGGCCCAGAAAAGCTGCTAAATGACCAAGAAGAGTGAAACAACTCTACATTCTCTGTCTGAGAATTGAATGTTTGCAACTCAAGCCAAAGCAGCTGCTTATTTTAAACATAAGTGCCTTCTTCTGGAATGAATGAAGAAATACATATCCAGAGATCTAATCAAGTGTAATTAAGCAATTCTGATGCAATTATTTGCTATCATAGAGCCTGGCCCAGCAGTGATGGCACAAGGTTGGGTGGAGCTTGGGCTGAACAGGCCTGACTGATCTGCAGAGCTGAGCTGCTCTGTAAAACCTCACTGATATCAACTGGCGTTGGCAGCCCTCAGAACTTTGGGAAGAGCAGATCCATGAGGGCAGGAGCCAGAAGCAGGTGGCCCCATCCCTGGCACCACATGGTAGGTAGTGGCACCTCACCAACCTTCTGCATGGGCAACGTGAAAGCACTCTCCCATACTGGGTATCTCTGTGATGAGCTGCATTAATAGATGAGTGGTAATGGTCTTAAGTTGTACCAGAGAATCTCAAAGTTGGTTATTAGGAAAACTTTCTTTTCAGAAAGGGTGGTGATGCACTGGCACAAGGCTGCCCAGGGAGGTGGGGGAGTCACTGACCCAGGAGGTGTTCAAGAACCATGAAGATGTGGCACTGAGGGATATGGTCAGTGGGCAGGGGGGTGGGGGGTGTAATGCTATCATGTGATGGAAGGCACAGCAATAATAGTAGGGTGGCATTCTTAGGCTACAGCCAGTGGGGACAAACCCAAATGCAGCAGCTGCAAAAACAAAGGAAGAAAAATCAGCTTACTTTTGCAAGGCCTTTAACAGGCAGTGATGTAAAGCAAAATACCCTTACTTCTGCTGCCAACCCTTAAATGAGGTCTGGGAAGGGATGGATCCTGGCTCCACCCCTTCTGGTCACTCAGTGCATTGCTTGCACCTGAGCTTCCCTGGGTTGGCCCTGCCTTCCCACCAGGTGCTCAATCACTGCTTCAAACTGTGACTTAGCATTTCTGCTACAATGGGTCAGCAGTTGGACTGGGTGATTTTAGAGGTCTCTTCCAGTTTCCTTGATTCTATGAACAGAAAAGAAAAGAGGCACTGACCTATGGGATCTCTGAGATGCCTACACATAGATAAAGAGTAACAGGGAAGTAAATTTCAGTGAGCAATGCAAAAACCAAGAGATAAAAACCACTCATTTGGGTTCAGAACACAAAGACTCCAGATTCAATGCCCTGAAATTACCAACACAAAGGCTGAGCATGAACTCCATATTCAGCATTCACTAGTTTTCCCCTTTTCAACACTTGCTCCTCAGTATTCAGTGCACAGAAGGCGTTTGTTATCAGCGTGTCCTCTTTCAGACAAGCAGTTTAACATCGTCCTAGGATGTCGGTGCAAAGCCTGTAACAACTTCTGGTTATTCACTCCAAGTCACCCAAGAGGCTGTGCAGCTCTGCAGACAGCAGCTCCTTCAGCCCTAACAGCAGCACAGGGAAACGAAAGGCTGAATTTAAGAGGAAGTGATTGATGATTTTTTTTTCTCCCAACACAGCAAAACAAGGAAGTTCCCAACAAAACTGTCAGAAGCCAAAAAGCAGTATTGCTTTGCAATGAGTTGCACAACGTTTTGCTGAGCACTGAGGGAGTTGCAGTGAACTGTTTCAGAAGAGGGGTTGTGCTAGTTCACAGGGGTTGCAGCCCTGGCTGGAAAACAAGTGAAACCACATGAAGAAGGCGGGTTAGAAGGACCTCTACCTATTCAGCACTGGAAAGAAAAATCCAGGCAAGGGTAGCAGCTGTTCTCCAGAGCCACAAAGCCAAACAATGCTCAGCCCACAAACCAGGCATCCCTCAATGCACAGCCCACAAAGCTGATGTGAACTGAAAATTAAAATGGCACTAGCAGTCCAGGATATGTTCCTAGCTAGTACGGCCTAGACCATTATTTCTTCATTCTTATCCATTCGCAATGGTTTGTGCACAAGTTTCCAATTAAAATTGGAAACACAGAAAGTTAGAACACCTCATTAACAGGAGGCAGTGTTCATTGCTTTGCTTTTAAGAGATACTAAACCTTACAAGATAGATCAATGGCCTCTCCCATCAGGACAGCACCAGGTGATAATTAACTTGCTTGAGATTACATAAAGCAGTTCCAGTGATACTGGAAACTTATGTTCCTTGCATTTAGCTAAACCTAGTAGCACTGCAAGCCTTAAATAAAACCTGTGTAAATACATCTGTACTCAGACACCACTTCTCTGGGCCAAATGAGCACAGCTGGAGAAAGAAGAAGGATGCTCCAGACACAGGGTGCGGTGTGGGAAAAGGGAAACGGAGGACACAGGAAGGAGCTCTTTAGCTGGTAAACATACCACATGCAGCAGGAAATCATTCAGGCCTGTGAGGTTATCTCTGTTTCCCACAAAACACAGTTGACCTCTCCTTGTTTCATAATACAAGCAAGCAGGCTGCGTGGGTTGGTGTTTGAGACAGAGGGGAATGGAAAGGGCTGTTCAATGGCCGTGCAGCCACATCTCCTTCTGGGGGAGCTCAGCAAAGCATCAGGCTGACATGTTTCCTGAGTAAACACACAGAACTGTGCCCGGGTGCTACATTAGCCCTGCTCACCCCTCCAAGCCCTTAAACCTGCATTCCAACCTCTAGCTATAAAGAGGGAATGACAATTCCATTATTTCAAAGACATTTATTAAACAAAGTTCAGGATTATTGCTCGGTGCTTCCACAGGCTTCAGAAAACGAACAGTCACTAACTGCTCTGCAGGTTGCTGTGTGTAAGGACAGCTCCGAGACAATCAGCCCTGTTTTGTAGCGTTTCGCCACCAAAATGCACATTCACCCCGCATTGGTAAGTCAAGCAGTACTATACAAAACCAGTCAGAAAAAAAGTTTTGGTATTTTCCCTTGAGGACTCCTACCCCCAACAAAAAAGCTCTTCTGCAGGGAGCAGAGGGCATCTTCAAGTCACTCTCAATTGCAAAAAGTCTTGCAAGAACATAATGGCCAATTGACATCTATCTCCCCCTCTGAGCCAGAAGGCACCAGCCGGGGCACACTGCACCCTTCCCCAGGATCAGGGCTGCAGGCAGCATCCCACAGACAGCTCAGTTCCAATAGCAAATTCCACCAGGAAGGCATTCAGTGAGGAAACACCCAGGTTTCTGGGTAAGGGGGGGATTATCCTGCCCAGCACGGCCACCCCAGAACTGGTGCACAGTGACTTCAGGCACTCAGCCACTCCATAACCACAGGGTGCAGCCATCTGGGACTTTACCTTGCCAACTTTGGGGCAAGAACCCTGACCGAGCCCTAAGGCTTAGGACTGCTTACAAACAGTTCCAGCTTGAAGCTGCTCATTTGTGCCCCCCATGGCCTTCCTGCTGTAATATTTTCGTCTCAGGTAAAAAAAATGGGTTCAACTGCATGGAAAGTAAGAATCTTGCTCAATAGCTATCAAACTAGAGAGATGAAACACATAGAATCACTTGTCCTAGAATGAAATACAAGCTGTTCTAGCAACAGATACAAAAGTCATTCAACCAGAGGCCCTCAAATACTCTGAGCACATTTATCTCAGAGTCAACAGCAGTGTACGTGGGAAGGGCTTGATGCATATAGGGCAAACAACCGACGAGGTCTTTTGCTGAGGTCTTCATCAGACACCATGAGGAAATTCAAAGCTGCATAAGTTTCAGAGGTTAACTGGGGCACTGGCAGGGAGTGACCAGCCTCCATGGACTTCCACCAGCTGTGGCAGGTCAGAGCTCCTCCCAGCATCTCTTCCTCCCAGGTTAATCAAGGGCTTGTTCTGACCAGGAGGACCTACAGTTCTCTCTGCCCAGAAGAAACATGACAAGAGACTCACCTAGAGGATGAGCTCATTGCACATTGACTCTGATGATCGAAACATCCCAGCAAAGTGGTGTGTGACAGGATGTGGTCTGCCCAGCCACGGTGCCCACCCAACCAAGGGGATGGAAAAGAACCCAGGATGAGCAAAGTCCCATCACAGCAAACTATGTATGAGGCTGTGGGGTGGTCACCAATCTACAGACGATGGGGCAGATGCAGGGAATGCAGCAGCAGAACACAACATGGGATCAGATTGAGGTCTGCATGCCTCCTCTTTCAAAACGGAAAAAAAGGAGCAGGGCCCAGCAAAGATTTTCAGTAAGCTGTGCCAGTATGCACAGCCAGGCACAGGTAACCCATCCCTGAGGTATAAGAAAGCCATGAGGTACACTGGAGTTGGATCACATGTGAGCTCCAGAGTGTGGGGAAAAGCCCAGCAGTACTGCACCACTGCAGCACAGGCTGGGCAAGGCCCAGGGCTGAGCCTGTTGGTGTAGGCTGCAGCCTGCTGCCCTCGGCATGCTCAGTGGAGGTTTCCTCCTCTGTTCACACTTCCAGAGAGCCAGGGAGTGCTGCCGGCAGCCAGCCCTAGTCTGTGCCTGCCATGCTGCTCATGCAACATAAGGCATCGTGTCCTTTTCAAACTTCATTAGGCTCCCTTTTCTTCCAGTCTAATTGGCAAAGCTGATTACGCAAAGTCAGAGCACACCCTTTGCACCTAAATCTTCCCTGCCCCGTTCCGGGGGTGCGTTATGCTGTTGATGTGGAGCCCGCTGATCCCGTTGAGGAAGAAGAGGAAGGCGGCAATGAACTCACACCAGTACGTCAGCGTGAAGCCCGTGAAGGTGAGATGATCCTTCATGAGGATCAGGAAGCTCAGAACTCCGGTGGCCGACAGCAGAAACGAGCCGAGGACGAGCACCGAGCCCATGGACCACTTCCTTCTTGAGCTGGCATCTTCACAGACTTGGGAGACCATCAGGAGCTCCAGGCCAAAGATAGCCACGGCCACGGCGGAGGACACCATGCTGCGGATGAGGATCATGCCCACATTGAGTCCCTCCACACGAGCCAGGCGCAGGTCAGTGACGCACCGTGGGGCACTGTCATTGCCGATGGCACAGAAGTGCCACAGCCCAAAGAGCTCTCCCTTCGCCAAGAGCCAGCGGCCATCACAGACAGAGATGGATGAGAGGACCACAGCGATGGCCAAGCACAGGATGATCAGGCTCCGGATGAAGGTCTCAAAGAAGGCTTTCTGGGGTCTCCTGTGTGCCAGCAGCCTCTGTGCCTGAGCGGGAGGAAGGAGCAAAACGGGAGTTATGAGAACTGCGTTAAGCTGAAATGAGGCTGAAGTTTGGGGATTTATAGGAATGATGCCAATGGTCAAAGTGCCGTAGGTTGGCCACACCATGCCACAATGCAGTGACAGGTTGTGCCTAAGGCATAAGAAGGCAGCATTGCCCTTCAAGCTCCCTGGCATCACCAAGGGTGCTTGCACGCCAGGGCTCGGCTTTGCCTGCCTTGTCCCACACTGAGCTGCCTCCCGGTAGGACTGGATGAGCAAAGAACCTCGGGGAGGACAGACAGCGATGGCTTGGAGCTGGCAGCTCTAAGCCTGGCTCTGCACCCCCGAGTTCGGGGCTTTGCTCTAAAGTATTGCTCACCGAATCCCACCAAGGGTTTCCACGGCGCCGCTAAAGACCCCAAGCAGCCGCACCAACGGGAAGCAGTACCGAGACCGGGGAACACCGAAAGGTCCGCCCGGAGCAAGAGTCCCCCGTCGGGGCAACGAGTGCAGCACCCTGCCGGCCCACCCGCTTTCCCCCCCAACCTGCCCTACCTGCGCCCCGATGGCCGTCATGCTGCCGACACAGCTCGCCGCCAAGTCGCTGGGGCGGGCTGCGGCCGCGGCTCTTTATGGCCCCGGGGGCGGTGGGCTGCCCGCCCGCTCCGCCACGCCCGCGGGGCCGGGGCGCCCTCCGGGCCCTCCCGCGGCTGAGTCAGCGCGGCAGCGGCGGGCGGAGCTCAGCTCAGGGCTCCGGGACCGCAGCTCCGGGCTGCGTCCCGCGTCCCCGCTCGGAGAGCCGCCCCGACACCACCGCAACCTGGGGCTGTGCTCGCTCTTATCGGATCCCGGTGCACTCCTCGTTACCTATCTCCACCTGTGCTGTCAGCAAAAAGGCTCTGCTCGTAAAGTTTTATGCCCTGGCTCTTTTTCTTGCTCGTGGTTTGTTATCTTGTGAATTACCGGTCCCTTTCTGCAGCAATAGCACCAGCTGTGCCCGCTCCGACACCGATGGGTGTAGGAGTGATTGTGCCCACAGCCCTGCTCCAGGTCCTTGCTGGAGCAAGCCAGCCGTCCTGTGCTGATGGTCTGCATGCAGACTGATGGCAGCTGGACACGGGCAAAAGGTATCTCTCACTGCTAGGATTTGGCTTGGGCTGTTTCCTGGAGCATTATTTCTAGTATTTTTTCTTCTAGAGAAAAGCATTCTGAAAAACATGTTTACGTTGGGTTTTGCAGTTCACATTTTAATGATAATTCTGACCTTATTCTTCCTCTTGTCCTGCAAAAGCTTTAACTTGTTTCTCTTCCAAGCCATACACGATTGCATTATATTTCTATCAAACACTGCTTTGGGATTTTCCTCTTCTGCAGCACGTGGTGGATTTGTGCAGGGTCTGCTGTTAAAGCTTCCTCTGTGGCCTTGCGTTCTGCGCCAGTTTTTGCTTCCTGAACTTGTTTCCAAGCGAAGCTGATGCTTGCTATGTCCCTTTCATTTCATGTTCACCATGAGCATGCTGTTTGTTATACAAGTTAAGCAGTATTTCCACAGCTGTACTGAGACTCGCTGGTACAGCGAGTTGTATTTCCAGCTTTAGAGTTCTAGATTTAACAACGCTTACTGTGGGTTGGAATCTCACACAGGCTGTGCTGTCTCATAGGGCCTGAATTTTGGGTGGTCCATTCTGGAGCCTGGAGTTGGAGTCAAGGATTCTTATGGGCCCCCTCTGACTCAGGACATTGCATGCTTTGCTGCACGAAATGGACAAACCCTGCTTGCACATGAAGGTGCAGCCAGTCAGAATGCACCCACACTCAGTGGCTAAAACCTCGCAGGACTGATGCTTCTGTACCATAGGCTCAGTTCTGCAAAGCACTTGGACTCCTAATTAACAAAATAATTAAGCGTAGATCTAACTTTAACACTTGTGTTTTCCTAATGGCTTCAGCCATCTATTTTGTGATGAGAGGCACGTCCTGCTGAGCAAGGGCACGTCAGGGAGCAGCAGCGGGAAGGCGCACGTGAGTAAACACGTGCATCAGCTTTGCAGAAGGAGGAACTTACAGTGACTATTTTGGAAACCAAAATGCTCCATTGCACGCTTGGGTTCCTGAGCAGACACAAAGTTACGTGCCGTGCTGGTTCAGCAGGGAAAAGGATGGGCTGGGGGCGGCATCTGTGCAAACGCAAAGTCAGTTTCAAGTCCTGCCTTTAATTTGGTTTCCCCCAAATACAAGCTGGAAACCAGAAATTGCAATGCAATTAACACCGGGATGTAATTCGACCTTTCGGATTTGCTCTCTGCAGAAGTTGCCAAAAGGAGGACGCAGATAATAGTGGTGTGTTAATTAGTTACCAGCAGTGTCTCTCCTCATTGCTGGGCCGGAGATTCCTGCTGGTAGAGATTGGGATTTATAAACCTGCCGGAACCGTGCATCTTTCTCACACAGAACAAATTTTCCCTTGAAACAAAGGGAACCAATTCTACTTTCTGCCTTTTCCAGATAAAACATCAGGGCTGCTCAAAAGACAGATTGTGGGAAAGTATCTCAGGATGATTATTTTGGAAAGTTCTGTATGAAAAGTGTTTTAAATAACAAGAGATCTATGCCTAAAAAGGAAAAATAAGAAATTGATATTTTTGCCTGCAGAGATGTTAACTACATCACAACAGTATGGCAAACGACCTTTAAAACTCTTTCAATGTATTTTTGTTGCAGCTGTGTTAATTCACTTGGGCTTGGGACAGTGCCAGTTTCATTATTCTGTTTATAAAGTCCCATTTCTCCATTGTTTGAGTGGGTATTTCACATCCTCTCCCTGGAGAAAAAATTTTCAGGGAAACGTGTTCATAAATAATGGAAATTACCAGAGCTCACTGTAAAACATGGGAATAGCTTTATCTGGCTCCGTTAGCTTAATAACTTCAACATCGAAGAGCCTTCTCCAGCTTTTCTCCTGCGGAAGAACAAAGAACATACACTGCAGCTCAAAATTACTTCTAAGATTTCATTTGTCTGTTAAAAAGAAAAACTCTTTCCAATTATGTCTTTATAACTCTTGAGGTGGCAACTGACCTGGCTGGGAATTTATATCTTTGTGTCTATCAGATGGCTATCTCAGGGTAAGCTCCCAGCCAGAACTTGAGCTGATCTTGGAGACAAACTGATCCTCGGCACCTTGTGGGCTGACCCTTTGGGAGATGCCAAAGGGCTGTATGAAGGACAAGATGGTTTCCTTTATCTGCCCAAAAATGTGAACGTAGGCATTTTTATGAGGAGGAAGAAGCTGTCTTGCCTCATTGTGTTTTTGTTTTCTTTTTTTTTTTCTTTCCTTCCAGTAGATAGAAAATACAAGCTTGAGAAGCTGTGTCCAGCTCAGGCTGGGTTCAACGCAAAACCAGCTTCTGGAATGGGGTAACAAGTCAGCTAGATGCTGGCAAGAAGTTCTTGAGTCTGGCAGCTTCAGGGAACTCAGCAGTTATACTCAGCAAAACGTGCCCCAGGCAATGGAAGTAACAGAAGGAGGTTTGGGGCTGTACCAAGGCCCTACAGCTCACACCAACCCCTTGTCACAAACGCTTCAGCTCACGGTTTTCCTCACATGCCTGCAAATCCCTGCAGCTGACAGGGCAGCCCTTACACGCACAGGGACGTAGTGAAGCATGTAAAGAGGAGATGGCTCCTGGGCCAGATGGTTTCACTTTGCCTCTTGGCTGCACGCCTCCCTGCTGCCAACGTCCTTACTGCACACACTCGGCCAGGGGCATCACGCATCGCCGATATCCTGCTGCACAGCTTTGGGATCGTTCATCCAAATGATGCAGCAGCTGTTGAGGTTCTCATAACTTGTAGAAAAATGTTGTTAGTGTGCTGCCCGTCACAGCAACTCCCACATCCCTCCCAGACTAAATTTAGCTAAAAGTAAGAGGAGATACTTTAAAGAGAAGGACAGACTTGAAGGAGTACATTTTGTGTTCTGGAACAAAAAAGTTTTTCTCATTTTCATTGGTTATTGGACTTACTGAAGTATTGCACTACAGAGACCCAACATCAAGGCTCAGCTCTTTGTGGGGACCTCTACCAAGAACTTGCTGGCTTAGGACACATTGCAAAACTCAATTCACTGCAGCTACGTACTCAAAGTTATAAATACCAAGTACATTGAAGTAGTGGGCATACGTTTCTGATTCAGCGCTCAATTGAGAAGATCAGCGTGCCTTCTCCTCCCAGCACTGCTATGTGGGGAACACCATATCTTGCACTCTTGAGTGGAGATGAATGAGGTGTCTCTGGCTATGGCAGCTAAGCAGTGCCATTTTGATGCTTGTCAGGGTGTGGAATCACCTGCCCGAGGCAGTCCAGACTTGCAAACAGAAAAAGCGTGTGACTTAGAATCCAATGGGCAGAGATTATACAACATCCCAATTTGTCAGGACTTTGGGCTCTACTTCATGACAATAAGGAACTTCTCACTGCAGTGGCAGTACTTGGAGCTACAATAATCTTTGCTAACACAAGGAATATTGCAGAAGGGAGCTGCGGAGCCACCAATTCCATGTTCAGGCTGTTTTTCATATCACTGCTTTCATAGACTTATTGAGCTCGAGCTCTGGTTATTTGGACCAGAGGTACCAGGACTGCAAGGCGTCTTCAAGTCTTCAGATATTCATCATCTCCTCAGGCCCATGCTTATTGATCACACTATACTTTTCAACAGCTTCTCCGTTTTTCTGAACAGTCTCAAGTATTGGAAGGTTTGCAAACAGAGGCAGGACACACTGAAATTTACAAAACACTTCTGTACACTGTCATGTACTCTTGATAGAACAAAGGATTGCTCTAAAACTGGATGGCAACATGATTGTAAGAGATGAATCAGTTCTACGGAGTGGCAGGAGAGCCAGACCTTGACAAATAAATGTACAAGCGCTGGGAACAAACAAACATCCTGAAGCCACAGACAGAAAAGGAAATGAAAACTAAAATGCTACTGCAACCACACTCCATAC